CGCCATCTACCATTGTTGGTTGGAACAAATTCACCAAAGTCGTCGGTCATCCATCTCCAGTCAACGATGTTTTCTAAGTCCTAGAATCCATAGCCCTTATAAAACTCGTTCTCCTGGGAACCAGAATCAGAGTTGGCTTCTTCTACTGTCTCGATTCTGGGCTTGCTGTAGCTTCGTCTAGCGCGAATTTCAGGTGCTGTATTGGAGATCCAGGACCACTCACTGTCAGATTCCTCGGCCGCCGTATCTCCGTCATTGGCATCTTCATTGCTGTCTTGATCGCTTTCTTCACCGCTATCCTGGTTGTGGTTTTCGTCAAGGTCTTCATGACTGTCTTGGTCGTCACCACCCTGATTGCCATCCTCGTCTTCATCTAGATCCTCACCCGCATCCTCCTCCAAATCCAGTTCCTCGTCCGTATCTTCGTCCTGGTCTCCACCCAGATCTTCATTCGAGTCTTGATCTAGATCTTGATCATCGTCTTCTTCCTCATGCTCCTCGTTTCCTGAATCATTGTTTTCAGGCAACCCTCGTCTTGCTCTACCGCGTTTCCAAGGGCCGTATCGTGGTCGAATTCCCAGCTCGATACACAAATCTCGTTGACGGCGAATAGTGATGTCCTGCGATGACTCCACGGCTTTTCTAGAAATCCTCTTCCACACAAGGAAACAACCATCAGTCTCATCTTCGTTCACCGTATCTTCACTCCAGATTCCCTCAGCAACGAGCCGTTCCCTCAAATCATCTGCATCGAAGACCACCGCCTCATTTTCCGCAAGAAAATTACCCAACATGCGACAGGATTTCCATTCATCAGATGTGTCTTTGCGATAGTCCTTCTGCTCCAGTTCCCTGAACCACTTGTTTAGCTCGAACTTTTCCGCCTTAGCTCTAGTATCCCAAATAGTTACGAAAGGACTTTTCCAAGTGTTTTTGTGTGAATAGGTGAGGCTTGCTCCAGCAATCCGTTCGACTTTGAAGTGGTTCGCAACAATGTTGGCGAAATCCTCGGAACACTTAGGCTGGGGAAATGTCTTGTCACAAGCTGAAACCCTTATCTTTGGCAGTGACGGAGGAGTGGGAGATTTGAACATCCCCGCTCGAAAGTATCTCTTACCACGAAGATCCGAAAGCTTCATTCTGTACTTGTTCATCGGTGTAATAATTTGGTCGACTCTGCTTGTGGTATGGTTGGTATTGCGTTTTGGGGGAGGGCGGACTGGGTGGCCACGTGCTATTTCCATTGTACGAGCCATCGTGTTGCTGTTTGATTGTTGCTGGACGGAAGAGTGTGATGCCACTCTACCCGGGCCTCGGGCGCCTTGATATACGGAAGGTCATCGTACTCGAAGGTTCGCGAAAACCTCCAATGTCTGAAAGATTTGACTTCGGTCGGACGTGAGTCCACAAGACCATCGTCATTTTCGAGATCTCAGGCCAGAACGGACAACGACAGACACGAAGCGATATCGGGAGAATTATCTGGAAGCAACTGTGAGGTTTCAACATGACGAAGGCAATGTTGTAAGAAACAGTTTTCTCCTGAAACAAACAAGCAGTCGTTCAGGTGAAGTAGAGTGTTGTCTGGATTGTACAAGAGACATCTCACTCTCACGAGATGTCTCAATACCTACGAAGAAGTTACTGAATAGGGAAATTGTTTTGAGAACTATATCACAACGAAAAATGTTCTTGAACTGTCTCACTTTGTGGACGAGTGCTACATACCGAAACCAAGTCAAAGGTTTCCAATGAGTAGAAAATCAAAACTAGTGTTATTGCCCACTTCACCTCTTTTACACAACAGTTGTAGAATGTTGGCTGGCTCACGTGAACTGATTGCACGACAACTGATTAACTATTCAAATATTCATAATTCGTCATCAATAATTCCAAGAAATGCATCATCTTTCATGCCATTTTCAAGCACATATCGCACAGTATGATGAGCTCACAAGATCGCGCAACGGATGTCATCACGGATGAGATAATTCAAACAGGTATGCTAATTACATTTCTCTTCGGTCAAGTTGTGATAACGCTGAGATTAAATCTTTAGATATACCTCTATTCAGCCATTCGCTGTTTATGATCAGCAAACCTGGCGCTTCAAAGTGGGCAAGATCTTACAAGTTTGATGCCACCAATGACGATGGGAGGTCAAGAGCTACTTCATGAAGGTAATCAACTCCAATATCTTTCGGGTTACACTTCAAACACTGAGCTTACAGGCCGCCTTCGGTGGCCACGGCAAAGTAGCCCTCCACGGCAATTTTGGGTCAACAGATTTGATACACCCTATCGTCCCCACCTTTGCCCCCAAACCCCTCACCTGAGGCTCTTTCCACTCCCCTCCCAACACGCACTACTACACCTGCCACTTCCCCACCCTCTCCCCTCCCCCTCATCCTTCTGCGCCCAACTCGCTTCCCTCCACACCCGAAGTCAGTCTCCAAACGGGAAATTCGGCTTCCACGTCACGACATATAACGGCGACCTTCCACAAGACAATAAATGGGTAGACACTTGGGAAGAGTGCTTTGTTCATGGCTTGAAGCAAATGCTAAATCCGAGTTTGGAGGGTGGAGGTCCGTGGGAGATGGAGGACTGTAAGAGAGATATGGTGGAAAAGGTCATACCAAGACTTTTGAGACCGTTGGAAAGTGGTGGACGGAGAGTTAAGTCGGTCCTTGCGCATGGAGATTCGTGGTGTGGGAATGCTGTGGTGGGTATTGAGACTGGAAGATGGTTGATCTTTGATCCGTCAAGCTTTCATGCCCATAATGAATGTAAGTGTTGTGGTCATTCTGAAGATGTTTCGGAGTGAGATGATGATTGAGAAATAGGTGAGTTGGGAAATTGGCGGCCGAAACGGAATAAATTTGGGAGTGAATATTTTGAGAAGTATCATGAGTACGTCCCGAAGAGTGAGCCGGTGGAGGATTGGGATGATAGGAATGCGTTGTATGCTTTGTGAGTGCATGAGCTGGGGAGTGAGGGAGGGACATTCACTTCTGGTGTCAGGAGGTTCAATTTACAGGCGGCTACTTTATTTCCGGAGGATGAGGGTTTGAGGAAATCGTGAGTTGCTTGTGCTGCGGTTAATACTTCACGACTGATTTTGAGCAGGTGACAGATGAAATGAGACGATTGATCACGAAATATTCTGACGGATCTGAGAAACACGAGAAGGCGATGATACTATAAATTCATGCACTAGGACTAGGACTAATGTATGAGTAGAAAAGGTATCTAGGCTATGCCAATTCTTTCTTCAAGAGCAAGATCCTACTTGATGCCATTAACCTTTAGGTTTTCTAGGTTTCTTCTCACCATTTTCCTTCCAGTACTCGTCGGTGGCAATTTTAGTGGCCTCTTCCTCCCAAGAATCTTTACCCTTATGTTCCTTTCCTTTCCACTCAATTAAGTACTCGAATACCCATTTGCCATTCTTCTTCCGCCATCTGTGATCGTGGATTTTCTTAACCTCCCAAAATCTGTTTTCCAGAAATCCTTCCTTTTTAGCTTTTTGAAAATTTTTCGGGGTTTGAACGCTCCCTAGGGTTGGCGTTGCGGAGGCATTGGATTCTTCCTCTGACTTTTGTTCTTCTTGCTCTTCTCGCTCGCGAAGGCGCTTACTAGTTCGATTTCCTGTTGAAAGGGACGGTTGTTCGGGTGGAATATTGGGAGGAGTCGAGTTCGTGCTCATCTTCTTACTTCTCTTTTTTGGTCTATGGACTTCTTCGTCAGAATCATCTTCACCACCATGTTCCTCTTGCGGTTCCTGAAGTCTTGGACGGGTAGCCGGCCGCTTCTTCCTGGGCGTAACTGGTCTTCGCTTTGGTAATTTGCGGTTGGAAGGTCCTTCGCCATTGTCGAGATCCGGCACCATAGTTAGATCTTCATGGAAATCATTCGGGTGTGGTGGCCTGATGGTATTTGGAGCGTCCGAATATTCATCTGAGGGTTCTTCATCGTGATTTTCATCATCCAGCACTTCTTCTGCATCTTGTTTAATTGCGGGTTGTTTTCCTTTCGTTTTCTTCGCTGTTCCTTCGGCTAAGACATGACTGGCGGAAGGACCCACGCTAGCCGTGCTTTTGCCTTTAACCTTTTTGGTTTTGGAATTGAGTATTCCTCGTTTTGAGTTGCCCTTGAAGCCTCCCTCTCTATTCATTTTCTCCTGGTGCCCGTCCATGTTGTGTTGGGTTGATGAGGTTTCGGAAGGAGAACTACTTGCGGATTAAAGGTTTGAAACACAAAGATCTTGATTTTACACAAGGGCAAAGTCATCTTTAGAACTTCGAAGTGTGGAGTCGATTTTGGAAGAGGTTTCACAATTTATGAAAGGAATAGATCACGAAATGAGAACTTTCTGGAGTCTGTGTTATGTTTGATGGGAGGCGATACCTCGTCATGCAATATTTGTTCTGTCGACGAAACTGTATATGAAAAAGTAAGTTGTGAGAGCATCGATTTCCATGGCTGTGGCAAAGTGACATGATTTCTGGCCTCGATGAGAAACGCCACGACACTTCGAGATCTTACCAGCAAATTAACATCCAATGCAAGGTAGGTTATATGAATAATCTGAAGGAAATATTCCAATATTCCTCGTAGGTCGGTGTGAACAATAATTGATTTCAAACAAAAAAATGCAATTGGTATTATGAAGGATTCATTTTTCGAGAACTGGTTTTCAGGGACATTCATGATATTTTATATCACAATTAGCCGATTCTTTAGATATAATTAACTTTGTTAGTACCACATAAAGGATAATTTTGAGCTTCGTAACAAATCGACGAGAAACTTGAAGTTTGTGATAATGTAGGAGGTAAAAAGTTTCTGCTGGTCCGTTTGCAGGAATATGAGTCACATTCTTCGGTGGGGGACAACTTCGGGCCCACTTTCATGTTCCATCTCTTTGTGCCTTGCCGAAACTAGTCTTTATCTATTTAATTAGGCACTTCTCATTCAACAAACGTTTCAAACAACACAGCGGCTTGGCGCAGAGGAAGCGCGCCAGGCTCATAACCTGGAGGTCCCTGGATCGAAACTAGGAGTCGCTATGTTTGAAATCATTCCTTTTGCTTTTATTTTCATCAATTTTGACTTATTGGTTGATTTTTGGCATTAGTTTGAAGTTGGGGTGGTTAGGGAACATATTTTTGCTAAAGGTGACTAAGCGAGGTCGCACACCCCATCAAAACTTTTTGTCCCTATTAGAAAAGATGCATTAGTATTCACTGCTTTTAAATTTTATGATTGGATTGTGTGGTCGTACTATGGTGATAGGATATATGACTCTTCCGTAAAGGTGAGATTGCCCCACCACTCGGCAAAAACCTTTTCGCAAAATTTTCAACACACTTTGAAATCTTGAAAATTACGATTTCAATTACTCAGAATTGAGGGTACCAAATTGCCCAACTCCCTAAGATTGCAAGGCCCGAGACTACCTTTGACGACTTTCACTATTCACATTGTTGTGGCGTTGGTTCTAAAAGGAGAAAAGTTTCGCCGAACCGGCACTTAAGCGAGAATCTTCGGCAACGGCAATGGCAAACGCACTCCTTGATCGTCACTTCCACAGATTTCCCCATTTAGCCACAACAGATGACATTCGCAATCACAAGACTCCCTACAGAGACCTGCCCTCAGGTATGAGTGGCGAGGAAAGACCACAGGAAGGAAAGATGACCTTATCGAATTTCTTTGCGAGAAAGCGCCAATAGTGCACACCTTGTCACGCAAGGAGTTCGACAACCTCACCGCCCCACTTGCGTCTTTGCAGTGTAGATACTTGCTCAAGACGAGGTTCAAGAAGGATGAAACTGCACCATGGAGTCGCACCTGGTGCTCCGGACTATTTGCACCGACAGCTGTTATGAAAAACATTCAGAAGTTTGTATCTGCTGGCATGCAGCCGCGTATCCAAATACAGCCATTCCTAAGTGGACTCACAGCGTTCGAGTTATCATTACACAAAGTAAGGATGACGGAAAGTCATAAGGATGTACCAACCAAGATCGCATCCAGTATAACCCTGCCAATGTTATTCAGTGATGGCCTTGAAGACATGCTGCCAGGGAATGATGGGATCGGTAGTCCTACAACTGGATACACGAAGGCAATTCGGAGGTTCATCGGACCAACCAAGACACTTGGCACGGACATCTGCGCAGAGATATTAAGTACGAGATGCACGTCCATTAACCAATTGCTCTTCGTATTCTAACTCCTCTACATCGAAGGCGTTCATCTGGATGAGAGATACGCGCTTGGCGCTGTTACCGAGAAGCATGATATATTGGTGGACAGTGAGATGATACAGGTGCCTAGCACTGCAGAAATCACATATTTAGATACCTGGGTTGACGGTGTGCCCATTGTATGGGTATTTCAGCAGTTTGATAGTTACGGGTGAGCCATTATACATGGCTTCGACTTGCCTACTAGCCAGGAGGGTCTACACCAGGTTGTGAGTTGGGGATTCCAGATACCAGATTCCTAGGATCCCAGCTCCACACCTACAGCATAGTCCATTACTTGTTGTTTTGTGTGTGGTATACTAAGTTTTGAATTATAAGCAGCCTGCTTTTATTATGAAGAATTATGGACAGGGTATATTACTCAAGAATAAGAAATTGAGGTGTATGTGGATGGCTTGTCTTCCGCTGGTTCTCTCCGTCTATTGTGGCTTTCCTATGTTGGCTATCTCCTCCGGCAGCGCTCAAGAACCCATCTCATGCGCACCTGCCACAGCCGGAGAGATCGCCTCAAAGTGCGCCTGAGCTGGGGCTGTCGGTGATGTTGGACTACCTGGCTCAATCTTCGTGACCATATTTCCCAGGATCTGTCTACTACACGCCTCTTGATTCTGCAACCTCGACACAAAGCCAGTATACGCAATAACCTTGCCATCAGCAATCGGCTTCGTCCACTTCGTAGAACTTGCATTAATCTCAGTCAAATCTTCGAACCTAGCATTGTGCATCTGTACAGTTGTGGCCAGTCGGACAAGACAGACGGCTTTGGTGCTTGTGGCTCCAGGAATGCCCTTAACCAAAGTCTTCGTTGTTTTCGCGTCCTTGTCTGACTCAGCCTTTAAGAATGTAACGACATCAGGTGCAAATCTTCTTAAGAGAAAGTCGTTCATTAGCAAGTCGACTTGTTTCTTAAGTGCTGATTTCCGAGAAACCGCAAGCATTCCACCGAAGCTCTCACCGAAGGAGATGGAAAGTAAGGAGCCTTGAATAATACCAAGGGTCTGTACAATGAATTGAGTGCGTTCCGTGGTGCGAACGATGTCTGTCGGGGTTTCCATGTCAAAAAATTTGTTAAGGAGAGGAAGTTGAGCAATGGAATGTTGGACGGGTATTCCGTCCATGAAAGGAGCGTCGTTAGTGTAAATGCCAATCTCCCGGCCGAGATCGTACTCGATTGAAAGAGAAATGAATTTACATAGCTACATTTTTGTTAGTAGAAACTCATCAGTAAGCGGTGGCAAATATTTACCTTTTCGCTGACAGCGAGGATTTCCGAGGATGAAACGGTGATTGGAGGCTTCATTGCCTCTAATTCCTTTCCTCTGTATATTACAGTGGAGAGAATGCCACCCGCATCTAAGGCCCCTGCCATGTTCCAGAACATACGTGCTCTCGTATGGAATGGCAGACAGCAAACTATCATGTACTTCTGGTAATCAGCGAGATCTGGGTCTTCAGCCGTATATGGTAGCAACGAAGCAGTAAGATGGCTAAATTTAGCGAAGCCCTCACGGATAACAACTGTGCCGGGCATATCTGGTGTTCGTGTCGACGTATCCCCACTGACCGCAAATCTGCGCAGAGGAAATTGTTTCTGGAGTTTATCTACCGTCGATTGAGCTGCAGATTCTAGTGCTGAATCAGGAGTGCTCATGCAACTAAACATTCCTGAGGCTGCAGGAATCGAGTGCACAGGAAGCGATATCTGTACGTTCAAGGCGCCTCGAGTGTGCAAAGCACCAGCCAGTTCCTTGAAGGTTTCTGCTCGAAGTGACTCCGGAGATGCAGGGTGAGGATTATATGCATAAACTGGGAACGTGCTCATGGAAACCCAGGTCCGCATTGCGTTAAGGTTTTCAGTAGCCCCTGCAAAGTGGAAATTGGTCCCCAGGGTTGCCAGCTGGCATGCCAAATATGGATCTAGGAGATCAAATGCAGAGCTCGTTCCTGCACTGAAGTATGAAAACTTATTCCCAAAGATGATGACGCTTTTCCCGGAATAATTCTGCAGGACATTTCTTCCAGTCGCCGGGTCTGTAAAAGATCCTGTGACACTGAGATTGAAGATGTCTAAAGCTAGGTGCAATTCATTCCGGATAAATCGAATGATTTGATGAATAGCAGAGTTGGGCGTTTGAGAGTTGACCACAAGCAGGAACGCTGAATGAGGATTATGAGAATAGACCCCTGAAATTTGCATGTGCATGGGGTAGCCGATGGTAGATCGAGTGTGCTGCCCGTGGAGAATATTGGTACCAAGATCTGAGAAACGATTTGGGTCGGCTCCTGGCTCAGAGAGCAGCAATTCTAGCGTTAGAAGACCGCTACTATACGGCATAGCCATGCCCGACACCTCAAAAGTTTGTGATATATCCACTTCAGAATTTGGATCCAGAACTTCCAGTGGATCCACCATCACATGAGCGTTTCCGGATTCGGCTTCGATGAAGGTGAACAGTTGTCCAGGATCCTTGACTAATGTACCCGCGCTCCTTCGAAGCTCCCCATTGATACCATATGATTTTCTGGAAATATTTTTCAACTAAGGAAAGTTTGTTAGCTGTGATTCGGCTTAGGGTCTAGAAGACTTACTGTCCACGTGAAAGTTATATGATCTCCGGGGGATACGCAATCGAGATACTTGGGAGGACTAAGCTGCAAAGGATATCGAATCTCGATACTCGTGCTCCCTTTGAATTCTGGAATGGCTCTGTTGATGCGAGGCATAGTTGCAATGAGTTGTACCTCATCCCTGGCAGAAAATACCACTCCTGGTGCTCTTGCAACACGTTCTTGCATAATGAACGCTCTAAGCACACCAGGCACCTCTACAATTTCATCCGCTTGGATATTTTTGGGTAGGTAGACCGGTTCTGTGGCAAGTGGCTCAAGCCAATGGGTTCCATGAATGAGAACCCGGATTGAATGATTCTTTGGTGACGGCATTCCACCTGCTATGTTAGACCTTGAAGCATCCACATGCTATTTTGCGGACTAACCTGTATTTTGAACCCGAATATTTTTGACAATCAGATGTTCTCCTGGTTCATTGATTCCATCATCATTCTCGTCGACAACCTCGAAAGAAACGACCTTTAGCTCATATCTGGTTGGATATGTCGCTTCTGTGCCGTCATTTCGTTTGACAGTGACTTGACTGGAACCTTGTGCTCCTCCCATGCCTCCCTGAAGATAGGACGGAGGCCTTGCACCAGGTGGTCCTACAGGTCCTCGTCGGCCTGGTGGTCTTGAGCGCTCTATGGTCACGTTTTGACGATGCTCGGTCCTATTCAATCAGCAATGAACTGCTTTCATATTCGTGACTGAGGAACGGCGCAAATCACAATAACTTACCATGTAATTCCAGATCCCGGATCGCCTCCAAGACCACCGTCCCCAGGGTCGCCGTGACTGCCACTCTCCCCACCCTTTCCGCCACGAATATCCCAATAAACTGGTATGAGCAAGTCTAGATCATCCTCGTTGACTGTAATCAACACCTTGCCAGCATTACCACCATTGGCGCCGTTTGTACCGTATCCGCCACTACATTGATGGTTAGACTAACAACTAATGATGAAGATGAAAGTACTTACTCCCCACCACGAGCGCCTTCATAGCCATCCTACAAGACGTAAGAACACGAAATATCCCGGATTCATTCAAAAATACAAATCTCTCACCTCAGCGTCTCGGTGTTTAGTCGCATCACGGCCTCGAGCACCTTGACCTCCTTGCTGCCCATCCTCTCCGTTACCACCTTTTCCGCCATCCCCTCCTCTTGCATTGAGAAGTAAGAC